TAAAACATTTTCGTTTCTCTCTCTTAGAAAAACTCCCTCTTCTTTGTAGTTTTCCACCATTTATAAATTACCCATCAATTTTACCTCTTCTTCTTCGTCGATCTCTTCTCCAACATTCGATTGCTCAATTCCTTTATACAGAAAAAGCTCGTTTCGTATTTCCCTCTTTTCTTATCTCTGTTTTCGCCATTGACGAAGAACACGAAGAAGGTACGTCTCGCTAATCTGAATTCTGTGTTTTTGTTATTTGGAAGTGGAATTTGGGTTTTGATTGTTCAATTTTGGCTGATGATTGGTATCAATATCAGGTGAGATGAATTGGAGGACATTTGGGTGTGAAATTTCGAATCGTTTGGGTATGGGGATTTTGTGTATTCTGGGAGGATTTTCTCGGGAAAATCTGGGGAGATGTGATGCGTGGTTTTAGGTTTTGAGATTTGTTAATCGGATTTTGACAATAAAAAAGGGGATTTTTAGGTTTTGGGTGTGAAGATGACTAGTATTCAGCCTCTGCAACAAAAATCAGAGTCTAGAGATGATGTTCGTGCCGAATTTGAGCGAGGTTTGGAGGAATTTATGCGTGGGCATTTGGATGAATGCATTTCCTTTGGGTCTTGTAGTTCTGTTCATAACCCAGAAGATGAGGACGATGAGGATGATCAGCTTGTGAGGAGGAGACGAAGGTCTGATCTTGAAGGTGAAAATTTGGCTGAGTCATCGAGAAGGCGTCAATCGCAAATTTTAAGCCGATGGGCTGCTAGACAGGCTCAGGAGATGATTACTACTATTGAGAGGAGGAACCGTGAGTCGGAGTTGATTGCGTTGGCTGGTTTGCAAACCGTCTCTATGCTCGATTCGTCTTTCCTTAGGGAGTCTCAGTCTCCGTCTTCGAGGCGTCAGGGTGTTGCTAGCGAGAGGCCTAATACTCAAGCATCTGGGATTTTGCAGATGTGGAGAGAGTTGGAAGATGAGCATGTGCTTAACAGGGCGCGCGAAAGGGTGAGGGAAAGATTGAGGCAGCAAAGGAGTGTTGAGTCTAATACTAATTTGTCTAGCTCTATTGCAACGGAGAGTCAGGTGAGTGAAAACAACGAGAGTTTGAGGGACTCGAGTGAGAGTGAGAATGATTACGGGGCTTGGTCACATGATCGGAATGAGAACGGGGATAATAATACGTCCAGTAGGGAACAGTCTCCTGATCTTGGCGATGGCGAGAGGGAGAGGGTGAGGCATATTGTCCGTGGATGGATGGAGAGTGGGATTAATGATCATTCGTCTAATGTAAGACAGAGAGACAATAACCGTAGAGCTGAGTGGCTGGGTGATAATGAACGGGAAAGAGTTAGGATTATAAGGGAGTGGATGCAAATGACAAGTCAGCAGAGAGGAGGAGCTCGTGCAACACCGAGAGAAGATCAGAGGTCTCTTACTTCAGAAGTTGATAGAAATCATGACAGTGCACAAGTTGACAGGGTCCGTGTAGGGGCAGCTGTTAACCATGAAGAAGGGCAACCGCAGCATGTTCGTCGAGACTTGCGGAGACTAAGAGGAAGGCAGGCGTTACTTGATTTGCTCATGAGGGCTGAAAGAGAGAGACAACGGGAACTTCAGGGCTTGCTGGAGCATCGTGCAGTGTCTGATTTTGCTCACCGTAACCGGATTCAGGTTAGTTTTTAAACTACCGGATTCATATTTGTTTGTTTGTATTTTGTAGGAAACGCATTGCTCTTCTTTCTCATATTCTTTTTCCATACATTTATGTCATTCTGAAATAACATTACATCCATCACAGTTCATGAGCTGTAAACTTTACTTGAGGTGGGATAGTTCTCTCCAGCATTCTTACTGTTTGAACTTTGGATTGGGAAAATAAAAAGTGTTTGTAGGAACGCAATTTTTTTCTCATGTAGTGTTAGCACTAGACTACAAATGTCATATATTATCGGTATCTTAGCACCTTGGCAAATGTAGATTGATTTCTGATGCCATAAGCTTTTCTGCAGTCGCTTCTTAGAGGAAGATTCTTGCGGAACGAGAGACCTGCAGCAGATCAAGAGAGAACTCCATCAACGGCTGCAAGGGAACTTCTTCAGCTAAGAGAAAGACAAACTGTCTCTGGTTTGAGGTAAGAAGAATTCCTTCCAATTCCTCTCTATTTTCTCATACAGTTACTGCCAAGTTCTTGCCAGCGGTAAGATTTCAACTCAATAGGATCAGATAAATTGTGTCACGATAAATATAACAATATACTACAAAACCGTAAAGGACTATATAAATGCGAACTTTTTATATCCCTGCAATCTCATCTTCTCTCCCCTGCCCTTTGAAGATAACATATAAAAATTTCTGGTTTTTCTTACTGATATTTTTGTTGTGTTTGCATTTGTCCTTTCATCTTATTAATACACAAGTACATTATGGCATTTAGTTTGCTCCTGAGAATTGCTCAACCCTCACTTTGATTCTGTCTCAGGGAAGGGTTCCATAACGGAAGGGAAAGTACTGTCGGTGAAGATAGTAGCAATACTGATAGCGATAACAGCAATAACTCCCCAAATGCTCTAGCAATTGCTATCACTGCTGAGAATTCTCAGCGTATAACCGAGGAGAATTCAACTTCTTCTAGACAAGGGAATAATAGTTCCCTTTTGCATGATGACTCGGGGAGGTCAGAAAGCAACCTAGCAAATGCAGCAGATACAGATTTGGAAGAAGATACCAACCAAAGAAGGGTTTGGCAGGAAGATGTCACAGCAGATGAGAGACTAAATTTGCAGGAAACAACGTTGACCCAATCTAATGGGTGGGAAAGTGGTAACACAGCTATAAACGGGGATGAAACCTCGGTCAGTGACATGCACCGAGAAGCCATTGGAATTACAGATGTTGAAGATCACACACAAGAAGGTCGTGGTGTTTGGCATGAGGATAGCTCTAGACAACCTGATGGGAACTGGCCTGAAACACGTTCAGAAGCCCCAAGGAGTCGTCGTGTAGTACCGTTGAGAAGATTAAATAGGTTCCATCCACCTGAGGATGACAACGTCTACAGCATGGAACTCAGAGAGCTCTTAAGCAGGTACTGACATAGGTGGATTTGT